TGTGTGTGTGTGTGTGTGTGTGGAGAAGTCCCTTGAAAGCATGGGGAAGTCACGCAAGTATTTGGACCCCCCCATCATTAGGTCATTTCTGATGATAGGCTTTCAGATGTGGTTACTAAGAATCGAGAGCTGTATAGGGAATGTCATATGACGAGCCAAGTCAAGTTTCACTTTCCAGAGGACAAGCCCAGCATATGAAAGATGAGTATTTTTAACTCAACTTTAATTTTAACTTATTAATGACTTATTTCTTTTTAAATTTCACTTTAAACTGTAAAATGTCCCAGTCAGCACAGTTCTTATTAACAATTCTTTAACTAATGGGGAGCTTGGACCATCTAATCCTGCTGTCTAAAAAATAAACAAACAAAAGCAGATGAAAACACATAACATAACCTTTAGGGAACTTGATGTGTTCAGCCGATATATCAGTCGTATATTTCGTAAATATCATTATTGGTGTTTTGGTATCGGCATCAAATATCACTTCTATTTTTGTGACTTCCATCTGACTCAAGCCCAAGTCTGAAGTTCAACTGTGAATGACTCTCTCCCACCGAACCTCTCCCCATGCGACCACTGCAAACTACAACAATCGTCATGCATACTCTCCATGGGAAACCAATGTGTCCTTGTAATGCACATGTATATCTTCCTGTGTTGCTGTAAACGTTTTTTATCACCCCTCGGACAATTTTAAGTGAAAGGTGCTTGTCTGTCCATCTGCCACACATCACTGCTGACTATTAAAAGAGCCACGGGTCACAAATAAAGCCCCTGCCAGACCACCCGCCACCCGCCCCTCATTCCACCGTGTTCTCCTGACGCCACACATCTGAGCAGCAGGAGGTGCATCAAGTGGAAATGAACAGCCTGTCTCAGTCGTTGGCCCTGAGCTGACCCGTCCTTATGCTCGGAATTTGGCATTCATGTTACAACACCTGCTGCTGTCATTTGTGTGTGTGTGTGTGTGTGTGTGATAGAGACAGAGGGGAGAGTGACAATACTTCATACGTGAATCTCGATTGTAGCTTATCTTCTGACCCTGACATAGATACACACAAACACAGATCTAAGAATGAGTTTATCCCACTGATCAGTGATAGAGGGTAAGGACATGTCCTTCAGAGGCAGGTCAGTGCAAAGCCTTGATTTAATATATTGCGTAGCGGTTGTTTTTTATGACAGAGTATTAAAGCCACTGACAGAGGAGAATAACAATAATAAGTGTTTTTAGGGCAGGTGCAATATTCAACTCACTTTTATTGTTATTATTATTCTGGGTCGTGCACAATATGTCCTTGTGTGCTGTTATTTTGTTGTACAATGAACTGTTCTGCAGCTGCTGTTAGCGCTGTGGCCCAAAAGAAATGTCCCCAAGGAGACAACAAAGTATATTTGATTTGAGGAATATCAGAAGTAGATTGTGCTGCATCTTGTTAAGTTAAACCATGGTATAATTTTCACCAGTCACAAAATGCTTCATATTTTGGCTCACCAGCAGCACATATCAGGAGCTTGAATAGATTGTGCAAGAAACTGAGTTTAATCTGAAGGAAGAACCAAACAGACAAGGGAGAAGTTGCCTCTATTGTGGAGGAGTCGACTACAAGGTTGTTAGTTACATCATCTGTTATTCAAAGAGGTTTCTTAGTTTCTCAAGAATCAATAAGATTGAAAGTCAAGATATTGGATCCAGAGGGACTCTTAAGAGCACAGGTTCTTTTTTTTTCTTCTTTATTATCTTATATCTTATCTAGCCAAGTGGGTCATGCTACATTTGTTTGTTTGTTTTTTAGTTTGCAGGAGTACACAAAAATTATAAAACAGATTTCCACGAACTTTTGGTCCAGATCAGGGGGTTGATGGATTTTTTAAACATTTTCGGTGATTAATTAATGGATCATGATGAAAAAAATCCGGCATGTTCAGGGTGCTGATGTAATTTGTTGCAGATCCTAATAAAATTCAAATGTCATTTCATTTCTTGTTGGAGGTATGTGCTCTTCTGTGTCATTTTAGTTCTTATAATATCATGATGACTTTCTGGATGTTTAGCTACAATATCTAAAACACAAGGTTGAGATGTGTTTCTGAGATTTCTGAAGATATATTTGTTTGATATTATTTATCTTCTACGTCAAGGATATTTTGGAGTTGATGCAATTCATGTGCAACACAAGGTTTGTTTTTAGATTTGAACAGGCAGCTGGAATCCACTTCAGTCCTCCATGGCCATATGCAGAGTGTCTGTGGCAGGGCTCTGACGTAAACAGCGCTCGACTACACACACAAGGTTTATGTTGAGTGTATGCATAACTGAATGATATCCAAACCCCCCCCGTTACTCAGCCAATTACAAGCCACCATTCTCATCACACCCCCACCCTGACTGAATCAATGAATGGTTCAAACTGATATTCTCACTGCCCACACACTCTGCCAGTCGCCTTGACCCTGCACACAGTGTCTGAGCTCTGGGGCAACAGCAGGCAGGAGTCATGCGCCTTTCACAAGCAGCGCAGGGGTGTTAATGCTGAAAAGCACGTCGGTGAAAACACTCACTCAGAGCTGGGGTCAGCCTTCAGGAATGCTTGGATGACCAGCGGTAACTCAGATTTGACGATGTACAGGTAGCTGGACATAGCTGTAACAGGACAGGACAGAGGAAAAGTGAACATGCGTGGCCAAGCATGGTCGAGTGCGCTGTCAGACATCAGCAAACAGACATCAGCAAAGCCATGTCACAAGAACACTTATCACACTGTGTTTGTGTAAGTGACCGAGCAGCAGCCGCGGTGCGACTGCGGACATCGAGGTCATGTCCCCTGTAAAAAAGGTTTTCTGGGAATTTCAGTACTCTTCAGAGGTTAGGTTACTTAGTACAATCAAAAAAAATTAAAGGTATTTTAATCAAGAGATTCCATTTGAACTACTTAACAAATTTATATACATTTTTTAATAAAAATAATTTACAGTATTGCCCCAACAGCATTTTAATACTTTTAAAGAGCCTGAAACATTCACGTTGAGTGAAACTCAAACTGATAATTAATTCAAAATTGCGACTTGGAATTTTTCCAAGAAAGAATACAAAGCATTTTCTAGATCTAGCTTCTCAAACATAAGGATTTTCTGCTTTCTCTGTTTTACATGGCGGTAAATTCTGTGGGATTTGGACAGATGGTTGGACAAAATACTCAATTTATCTTAAACATCTTAAATATTGTATCAGAGGACACACAGTTATGTTTGGCTCCTAGATAGTCCTGGTTTCAGGCAGAGAAAAATGAAAAAATGTTGAGTCAGTGCTACACACCCATCATCCTGCTGGAATACAGTGGTGATCTCTTATTCATGGGAACGCAGCAGTTTGAGCAGTTTAACAACAGGTCTCCTTGTCTTTGCTCTTAAAATAAACCTATAGCCCACAATTAAAGAGACGTACCGCCTGGAACAAAGCCACAGTAATACTGGTGGTTTCAGGATGTGTGATGGGTGGGTCAGTGGGGAATAAACCCTGATCCTTTTAATGATGTGTAATTCATGTTTTCTGCTGCAGGGATTTCAGCAAACAAGTGACATATTGTGTGTGCGAACACATTAAACTCCTCACCTCCAATATTCTGAAGGGTAATTGCAATACCAGCAGCCATTTTTCCAGGAGTGCCAAAGGCTCTGTAGCCCAGCTGTTCATAAGCTCGAATTCCTGTAAACACATTACAAACAATATTTATGACTCAGTTATGTTTGCTGAGATGTCTCTTTGGGCAACACAATAAACAATAACATTATTTGAACAGTATGTGTGCTTGGTGGGTAAAGAACTGTGTCATTTTCACTCCTAATATGTCTAGATAATATAAACATTTGCTCCATTACAGGTTATAGAATCATCTAATTTCGTTTCATTTGTGAACTTATCATAAAATAATGTGTAGTTAAAATTTTAATTAAAGTTAAATTGATATTTTTGTCTGAAAGGTCCTTAATCAGCATCAAACATCTTTTTGATTCAATCACTTTAATTTAATCCAATATCCCTCAGTAGCAGAAATATTGAAGGTTTAAGTTGACTGTCACTATAATCGTGCAACATGTAGTTGCACCATTTCCCTACAGAAGGCTTAGACATTATGCATGGCTTACCCACAATGCCCGAGGATTTGAGCAGCAGATGAATGGAGTAAGATGACAACGCTGCTACTGCAGTCAGAAGAAACCTGTGACACCAAACAACAGGGAAAGTCAGACACTGTTACACTGATGTTACATGTAAACCTTTGTATTTCTAATATAACTGTACTCCATTGATAAAGGCCAATAGTCCTACACATGATGAAAATGCTATTTCCCATAACCCCTTTCATCTAACGAGTGCAGTGTCCCTCCTACAGAGGCACAAAGCCTTGAGCGAGCACTTTCTCATGAGCATTCCTCACGAGTCACAGGGTGATCCCAAATCAGTCACCTTTCTCAGGCCTTTTCCCAGCATTTCCCTGCGCTCATGTGTTCCTTGTATAGACACAACTAGTTTCCCTCTCGCACATCTCTGTAAGCCCTGAGACGTCAACGAAAAGTACGAGAGCCATTATAAAAACCTCATGAGCGCCCTCAACTCGCAAACAAGAGTTTATCTGTGTCTGTTAGAAGAATCTCCTGGAGTTTGATGCCATGTCTAAAAGAAGAGGATATCCTTCTCTGGATCCCTACACCCTGGTGCAATATTCAGCAAGACGTCTGGCTCTTCATGGCGACTCTATTTCTGTGTTGCACTGGAAATATCCAGAAGAGCACTGAGAACATCAGTTTGTTTTGTGACTGGTGGATCAAAAAACAAAGATGTGAATATGTGAAAGAAAGTGTCAGAATACCTATGCAGTGTACTTTTTCACTTTTTAATTATTTGATCTTAGATATGAAGCCCACAAGAAACAAATAAGCCCATGTGCCTAGAAACCGCTTTAGTTTTTTGTTCCATCCATATCCATCCAAATCTAGGGAATAAGCATTTTCTAGTGATCTAGGGATTTAGCTTGTTCCCTTTACTTGCCTTTAAGTCAATAGAAATACAATAAAATAATGAAAATAGGTTATGTGGCTTGAATATAAAATAAGAAGTTAAAATGTTTTATATCTTAAAGTGGCTGAAACAGTTGGGTAAATTGAAATAAAATGACCTTTGCCACAGTTGAACACATCCAGGGGTGGGGGTCATTGGACCCTTGAGGTGCCCCTGTCCTGTCAATAGTCGTAAATAAAAATAACGGTTGGATATTATATGTAAACTACTCCCTTAAAAACAATACTAACAATTAATGACAAATATATATATTTTAAGCTTTTTTGGAGAACACAATATGCTTAAATGAGGAACAGTATTCAAAATATATTCAATGGTGTGTGGCTTTGAAATTGAACGTGATGTTATCCATGCAGGGGCCCTACTGTGGTTCGCATTGTATCTCTGTGGTCAACTTTGATATGCTGTTTGTTGGATGTCATGTTGGACAGTTGGACATGGTGTCATCAAGGTGTTGATGATCTTTAACCCTCAGGTTAGTTTGAAAACATGTTAGGATGCAGCAGAAATGTCTCTCGCTGCTTCTGCCACAATCATTCAGTTACTTCAAATCAGAAGTCACCACCTATGACCTCATTCCCAACGGAAAGAGATGGGCCTCAGACTTGTTCATCAGAGGAGCTACTCTTCCAAAGCTCTCGCGTCGATCTGACTTCCCCTTTTTCTCCCCAGTCGAGGGAAACACTGAGGCCAGTCTCTATTCCTGTCTTACCACTCGCTTTGCAGCTAAACAAACACAGACTATAAGAAAGAGACCAGGGTGGTGGTCTGACAGCAGCAGTCTTGCATGGAGCAGAAGGAAGTTAAATGAGCGAACCAGATGCCACACACAGGGTCTGGAGGTTTGATTATTTTGAGCTGTGGCCTTTCTGGTGTCTCCATGTGGCAACGAGGGCGGGGAGGAGAGCTTTAGATAAAGGGCACGAGGGGAGACGACCATATCATGGAACATAACATGATAGCAGATGTCATGACAGACAATAAATCACTTCTATAAGTAACTTGCACCACCATTACACACCAGTGAAGCTCACTCCTAGTGTAAATCCCTATAATGTCCATTAGATATACTCATGACGTGTGTTTTTTAACTAGTGCAGAGCTCATTCATAACCTGCCTGTTATAGAATGGGCTGTTTGTTTGGCCCGTGATGATGCTGGTTGCAGCTTTTTTCTTTTCCGCTGAAGGATTCAGTCCACAGAAAAAAACGAACCTGCATCACCGCTGCTGCACAAAGAGCTGTTCACTCGTTTATTAAAAGTTCAGAGAAACTCAACTCAGTACTAAGAAGAACGCCAAACTGGAGAATCAGTTGTCAAATGCAGTTTTTTGTGAACACGCCCATCGAAACATGTTCTGCACTTCCTTGGTCCTTTAACAAAAGCACACAGTAAGTGTGAAGCTGATAAGATGAATGGTTCTCGAGATAGACAGAGACTTCTGGAATTATAAGATAAGTTAACTACTTAACGGACACTACAATCAATTGTAGCTATGCCAGTGTTTGATGAATAAGTAGATTCAAGCTCAAGTTTTGGCCTCTGTCTTTCTTTCTTTCTTTCTTTCTTATTTACTCACAAGAAGAGCAGTATGCCAGTGTTGGCCATGGCGTAGGCCAATCCCAGGATTCCACTGCCCATGATAGCATTACCCAGGTTGAAGACAGACATGCCAAAAGAGGTCTTTCCTTCAAACTGAATGAAAAAATAAAAGCATACAATAAATATATGATATATAAAAACCACAATGCTCTTTCTGTTGTTTCATATCAGCAAAGTCTGGCAAAGTCTTACGTCTGTGAAGCGTTGAGGTTTCTTTCCATCAGCACTGGGCAGAAATTCTTCATTTTCCAGTCCTAGGTCAGGATCATCAAATCTACGGTGGGAAAATGTTTGTCTATTAAGTGATGGACTTTCTATTTACTGCCAAAAAATGCACATGTATCTGCTGCAGACAGGGGTTAAAATGACATGCTTGTTTTTGTGCATTGTGCAAACAAATGCAGTGGGGGGAAAAAAACCTTCATAGAAATCTCAGCAAACATACCTGACTGCTTGAGTTCCATTTCTGTATATGGATCCACCCATTGAAGTGAGCACATGCATTTAGAAAAAGCGGAGATTTTGCAGGAGGTAAGTCACACGTCATTCACTACATTCGTTATCCCAGTCACATTAATGTAAAACAGGTACAAAAGGCTTTTGTGGCTTTAGCTCAGTGTGATTTTCAAGTGTAACTAATACAGACAGACAGTATAAAAAGTGATGGACACATGCTGTGTTTAATGCGATTAGCAGTAGAGAAGCAACAAAGAGCAGCCAATCGTGTGTGGAGCAACAGAAGTACACTCACTGATCCTCCTCGAGAAATGTCTTCATTGGCACACTCATGTCGTCTCCGGGGTCGTGACTTTTCCCGTTGGATATGATGTTCGCTTCTGACTGAGCAGGCTCCATGATTAGAGTCGTTTCTTTTTGGCTTGTTTGTGTCCGACAAAGGTCTGAATATCTAGGATGGAAGCAGAAAAGACTTATCACACACAGATATCAGATCTGCAGGTTTATTTATTTAAAGAAGATACTTTTCATTTAAAATATGAACAATCTGAATGTTTAAAAGGCCCTGGAATTATATCTTTATAGTCAACTTCATATTATGGGAGATGGTGTTTTCTCATGTTTGAGACAATTGTGTTATTATTCAATGAGCAATATTAGGATCATAAACAGCATTAGTTTTACATTAGTTTGGCAAAGATGTAATAATTTTTGTTCACTGTGGCCATTTAATTCCATCACAGTGTCATACAGAAAATATTGTTAGGTCGATGCATTCATGCATGGTATTCATGCATGTCAGGTTCCTGAAATCCTGCCTTCAATGTCATGATCATGTCATGATGTCATGAATCCTTATCTCTAACATTTCTCTGCTAGAGGGGATCACTCCTGCTGTTTACTCTGTGAGTTCCGACACCATGCCCACGCTCTCATCAATTCACTCACTGAAACCCCTGCCGACAGACAGCAGTTGTAAATGATCACACGTTGAGATAAAATGCCGGAAAATGTGACAAAACTTCTTTGTGTTTTCCAGAACTTTGTTACTGAGCAAGGCAAACATACGTCCAGACCACACGGTCAAAGGCCAAGGTCTATTTGAGTTCGTTTTTTGTTTTTTTCCTTTTTGTTTGCTCTAGTCTTTTGTGTCAAGTCATAAGCCTGCAGATTCTCAGTGTTACTGCCCTGTTTTTATAACAATTTGATCAAACAAAACCCAATCCCTCACAACAATGCCCCTGTGAAATTACAGACAAAGCAGTTTGCAAAACAGTCATTCATGTAATACTTTAATTACTAATTTTCCCTGTATTTTTACTTCAGGAGATTGGGGTTTGTGTGGCTGCGATTTTAAGACAATGACATATTTGTCAACCAGGAAACTATACATCCACAACCCCAATGAATCCTCTTGACTATTTCACTCCAGAGAGACAATAACATGTTGTTTGCTGCTTCTGCTGGGACCAGTGCACAGCAGCTCGGTGTGTCCTCTCTGCCAGAAGATCACTGTTACTGCCATTCACACTGTGCACATGAGTGCTCATTGATACTGAACCACTGCAGCTACAAAGGAAACTTGAGAGGCATAAAACAGTGTCACAGTGGATGCAACATACAACACAAAAATCAGATAGTGAAAAGAAAATGCTGATTAATCCCAGCCAAAATTATCCTATTTAAACCTGTTTAATGTATCACATAAAATAAGGTTACTGCAAATGTATATACATAGATTGATTACCAGAGAGGTGACTGAAACTTTCCTTTATAAACTACAATTAGGAAGAATAACACAACTTTTAAGAATGTACATATTGTGCAACTAGACCCCAGGAAGACACTGAAGAACCAGACAACAGTGGATCAAGACTTATTCCAGCCAACAGGAACAACATGAGGGCAGTTTATTTACAGTGAATACAGGAACAAGCTCATTATTTCCACCTATATGATCCCTTGTTTGTTTCCAAACTGAACTGTAGCTATGTGTCATATGTTAGACTTCATTTATATCACACGTAGTGTATGTTGGCAAACAGAAGTTAAACTGTGTCCTGGTTGACGTTTGAAATCTAGTTTCATTGGTGACATTTGTGAAGGAAAGTAGGTGAAATTCAATTTGTATCCATGTATTGTTTAAATAGAGTTTATTTTATCTGCAATTATCTATTACTCTGTTAGTATCAAGGTTAATCTGAGACAAAAGCAGAACCAACTAACTTGACAGTCAAAACCTTTTCCTTCTATAAAACCATATTCA